TACCTTTACAAGAACCAGACCGTGCCAAAAATACAATGTCACTGCCATATATTGGTAGGGCTACCCAGTCTTTACTTTCTAGTCTCGATAGAGTCCCTAACCTTTCCGCGTCCTTGTGGATGATGAACTATTTTCAACTCTGCAACCTTCTTTTACGCAAGCCTCTTGCTGCTCTATCGCGATTTGTATGGAAAGTAATTAGATGAACTACATTCCTTAGTTCGACCAGCTCACTACTGAGACACGCCTTCTTACTTATATTATAGAAAACCGCCCACATTCCACACCAACAGCTTCTTCCCTCGAATCGTTGCTTTGTGGAACCTACTCCCAAGAGGATGCCTCCCCGATCACTAAAATTTTAACCCGTTCATGTTTAGGTTTAACTGTTATCTTCCCTACATATCGCCCTAACCTGTGCTTCTTACCCTGTAACGCTTTACCTCGAGTGGCTCTTGGGCTTTGGACAGGGTGAAAATCATTGTAAAAAAAGAAAACAGCCTTCAATTGAAAATTTTATTCACGAAATTTAAAGTAGTTTGCCACAAGGCCAATTGTATAACAGACTTGATGAACATATGAACTTACTACTCAGCAATAATAGAGCCTTGTTCGTTAACCATTACTCCATGTCCATTTTCAACAAATGCTCGATATAGCGCTGCCCGTTCGCATATTCCGTGATGGAAATCATCCGAGTTTCTCTTTTTTCCATGGGACTGTGCCCCCACTAAAGACAACTACTGTCACTGGATATTTTTATCCATCCAGACCATTAAAAGCCGGTTCAATTTTGGATATACAAGTGATAGAAATTGGGCACCTCGAGACGGTGTATGGTTATCAAATTTTGGCTCGATGGAACAATTACGACTGATTAGTGAATTCGATCCTCTCTGGGTTGTCCATACTTTCTGAAAAAATAAAAAATATTTAAAAAATAGAAAAACAAAGGCACCTCATTTTGTTGCAATGGTTAGAAATTTAAAATGTCGCTAAAAATATTACGACTGAATAGTGAGTTCGATCCTCACTTCTTTTAATACTTTCAAAATGTGCCACATCTAAGCTACGCTTGGAAATTACCCAAGTATTCAAATTCAGAGGATCTGATAATTATAATTAATTAATCCATCGAGTCTGATTCACTACTTCTACGTCACCGTTGGTACAGTTGGTATGACGTTTGCCTGTCAATGTAGCAGTCCGGGTTTCAATTCTCGGTAGTGGATGCGGATGAGTCCCAAATATTTACAAAACTTAAACAGAATTATTTTTGAAGTTTCTCCTAGTGTTGATGAATTACTTAATTATAATTATCTCAAATCCTCCTGATTTCCATCACATATATATAATATTCTTATTACAATAAAATCATTTTACATCGCTACACAAAAGCATTCATGTTACAGAACTATAATTTTTTTTCCACAGGCAATGGTAGATAATTTGTGATAAAAAATGATGCATTAAAACAATTTGAAAACAATTGTTACCTCTTTTGGAAGTTAAATGGATGCATAAGGTCAGAATTAAAAAAAATATATACATGTGGGTATGTCTAGATTAACCAATTAAAAGTCAGATCCAAGCCAAAATAGAAAAATAAGGTCAGAGGGTAGAGATAGGTGGGTAATTTGTCCATCTCATGATAAACTTACGCTTAGACATGTCAGGACAATATATATATATATATATATATATATATATATAAATTGATGCAAAGTTTCATTGAATAATATAGACAAGTTACATTGTCTATTTATTTGTATGTTCTTTTATATCGTCAATAAAATTAAATATATTACATTATAACATTATATATATATTGTATATATATATATATATATATATATATATATATAAATATGTGGTGCAGTTCAATTTATATTACGTGAATCATTCATACAAAAAGTAGATTATTAAAGTTAATGATATAAATGGTGAAAAACATCTTCACAAACAATAATAAAGTTGCATTAACCTACAAATCACTCGATGAATGTTATGATCCTTGTTTTTAATAACTTCAAATTGTATAAGGTCTTTCTTTTTTAATCTGCTAGTACTTTCGATCTGTACATTCATCCATCCTCAGTCATGGAAATTATTTTCTTTTTAGCAAAATCCAGGCAATAGAGAACACGAAGGATTAAATGCGAATCAAAATGTTTTTTTAGAAATGTGTTATTGTTAACGGATAAGAACTTATGGAAGGTGCAGTCGCAACTCTAAGGTTGAAGTTTTTTGAAAATTTAAGAGAGGCCGTTTTTTACTAATATGGTAATTTGAGAATTTTTTTATTGTATGAGTTTTTTTCGGTCATTATGGCATGAACTAAATTGTTCAATAGAGTAATGTTGCAGGTGTTATCATGAAAATTTGCACGTCGGATCAGTTCTTTTTAAATCAAATATGTGGTGCAGTTCAATTTATATTACAATGAATCATTCATACAAAAAATAGATTAGTAAAGTTAATGATATAAATTGCGAAAAACATCTTCGTGAACAATTTAAAAAACAAGTGATTCGTAGGTAAATGCAACTTTAAAAATTTTCGCGAAAACAGAGAATGTCTCATATCGAGAATATTTAACATTGAAAAATATAAGGAAAAAATTAATTATTTTTAATAATATGTGGAAATCTCCGCTTTTACCTGAAGACGGTCACGAGACCAGAAACGTGTGTAGTAAAATTATGGAAAATAAAGCATAATATTTTTTTCTAAAAAAAAACACATTACAACCAAAAACGTTTGCGGCACCTCTCTTCTCTTCTTTTTAATATACATACTTTTCTCTCGTTGGAACCACTACAACCTCTTTCTTTTATATATATATATATATATATATATATATATATATATATATATATATATATATATATATAAAAAAAAAAAAAAAAATAAAATTGGGCCGTGCACTTTTAAATTTGGGAAATTTAAAATATATAATATAAATGACTGCTATTGTTGATAATAAAAAATCATTTATGAATCGAGCACTTTGATTATGGCGTGCTTATTCAAGAAAAATACGTAAAAATTTACCTTCCTCTCTGCCCGGAGCTGATAGCTTATTATTGAAAAATGTCCGACCGATGCCAAATCAGTCTGGGTTTGATCCTGGCTTGAGGCAATCGGATGTCTAGCGTCACTGATGAGCTGTGATGCATCAAAACAGTCTGTCTGTGTATGGCAATATATATATATATATATATATATATATATATATATATATATATATATATATATATATATATATATATATATTTATATATTTTTATCTTTAAAAAATAAATTGTTTGGATCTTATTGAATGTAATTCACGTCTATGCTCTATAATAAAAATTATATTGATTCTTTTATGTATCAGTTTTTTTTATTTTATATTAATACAAATCTACTTTTGAATACTTCCAACGAATTTTTTCTACGTATATATATATATATATATATATATATATATATATATATATATATATAAGGTGTGTATGTGAAATGTGTATCTGTTAATGCAGTATAAATATTTACTATTATTATAAAAAAATAAGAGAAAAATAGCGAAATATAAATAGTCAATTACTAATATCCCTTGACGAGTGGACGGAGTGATTCCCGGAGTGAGCGTCTAGGAAATTCTGGAGGCGGGACGCTGGAGGTAACATCAAGCATCTAAGTACCAAAAATATTTATATATATATATATATATATATATATATATATATATAGGGAAAGAGATATAGAGAAAAAAAGAGAAAAAAAGAAAAAGTGGAGAGAGAGCGACAGACAAAAAATCACGAAATATAAGCATCAATTACTTCTACCCTTTGATTCAATGGACGGAACATTCCTGATGCTTGTCTACCAAACTTTGGAGGTTACCCAGCAGCTATGCCAAACTTTATATATATATATATATATATATATATATATATATATTCAGAGAGAGAGAGAGAGAGATGGATTTCAGACAAAACGGACAGACAAACAGGCAGACAGACAAGGGGAGTAGCGCTTGTAAACATCGCGTTTAACGTAAAATGGTGGAAAATGATGAAGCGTGTATGAATATTAATTATTACAATTCTCGTCTGTTCGTGCGCTTACACCAAATGTCAGGAAATAGGCTTGTGTGTCTTCTTCTGCGTGAGTCCGTGTGTCTGTGTGGCTTTAAGGGAGAACACATGGGCAGCAAAATTTCGGAAAGAGCATGCCAGAAGAAGTGACATTTAATTGTTTTCGCCATTTCTATTTCACTCTCGCTCTCTCTCTCTCTCTTTCAGTTTGATCGTTTCTATTTATACGCAATATTTTCATCACTATCTATCTATCTATCTATCTATCTATCTGCCATTCTATTCATATCTATCTATCTATCTATCTATCTCATTCTCATCATATATCTATCTATCTATCTATCTATCTATCTAATCTCATTCTTATATCATCTATCTATCTATCTATCTATCTATCTAATCTCATTCTTATATCATCTATCTATCTATCTATCTAATCTCATTCTTATATCATTATCTATCTATCTATTATCTATCTATCATCTATCTATCTATCTATCTATCTTTTCTATCTATCTATCTTCTATCTATCTATCTATCTCAACTATTTATTCATTATATCTATCTATTCATCTATCTATCTTTCTCATTTTTCTTCATTTATAACATATCATATATCTATCTATCTATCTAATCTCATTCTTATATCATATATCTATCTATCTACCTCATTCTCATCATATATCATATCTTATCTATCTATCTATCTATCTATCTATCTAATCTCATTCTTATATCATCATCTATCTATCTATCTATCTATCTATCTATCTAATCTCATTCATATATCATCTATTTATCTATCTATCTATCTTATATCATCTATCTATCTATCTATCTATCTAATCTCATTCTTATATCATCTATCTATCTATCTATCTATCTATCTATCTATCTATCTAATCTCATTCTTATATCATGTATCTATCTATCTATCTAATTCTCATCATATATCATATCTATCTATCTATCTATCTATCTATCTATCTATCTATCTGTGTGTTTCTATGTGTTTATATGGGACACTACATCGAAATAATAATTAGAATTCTTTTACTCCAATATATACTGCCATCATCATCTTCATCTCGTATCCATGAATTTAATTTCTTCTTTGTTGATCGCTTTCTTTATTATAATGGCGTTGGTGATAAAATTCTCCGGCAACGTGCAGAAACATACAGTTTCAGTGAAACCTTCAGCCGTCATCCATCCCCTATGGTCGTTTGGCTTTGCAAGGGTTGTTGGAGGTTAAAGAAAATCAGATTAGAAGAAAGGGTTGATAGTGTAAATTTATTTAAGGGGGACCACAACTTTCCAGGAAGTGATCCACACACTTGGATTTCGTGACCTTCATCTGCGCCACAACAATATGCGTGTGTGCGTATGCGTGTGTGTTTGCGTGTGCATGCAACTATGGTAGATTATCCGAAATCATTAGTTTAATGATTAAACATCATAATACTATTTTATCATGTCAGTCAGTAATCCTTCTCTTTCTCTCTCTTTCTCTCTCTCTCTCCCTTCCTCCATCTCCCTCCCTCTGTCTTTCTCTCTCTCCCTCCCTTTTCTCTCCCTCCCTCCATCTCTCTTCCCCCCTCTCTCCCCTCCATCCCCTCTCCCCTCCTCTCCCTCCTCTCTCCTCCTCCCTCTCTCAATCCCTCCATCTCTCCCTCTCCCCTTCTCTCCCCTTTCTCTCCCCTCTCCCCCCTTTATCTCCCAAAAAAAACCCCTCCCCCCCCCCTCCCCCTCTCCCTCCTCTCTCAATCCCTCCATCTCTCTCCTCTCTCCCCCCCCTCCTCTCCCCCTCTCTCTCCCTCCTCAAACAGGATATTTACGATAAACCACTGGATATAAATACTCCGGACCAAATGGAGGAAATTGTCCGTATATTGCTTAATATGTTGTAATTGACATCTTTGATAATGGCTTAAGTATAACGATAATGTTATTAAATTTATCAGACGTTACGAAAAAATTTACATAAGATAAATAGACAACACTTGTCTATATTGTTTAATGAAACATGTATATATATATATATACACACAGTTAATATTTCGTTGGTATATAATCCAAGTGAATTCTAATAATATAAAATATTAAAACTGATCCACAAAGAGACCTCAATCTATTTATTATAACAGGGCATATATAAATAAATAGATTACATAGAAAGAAATTCAAAATTACTCCATTTGAATAGCTATTTCGCCCTACAAGATCTTCTTTGCATGATTTATCAACAACAAGGAGTGAAGAAATAAAATAAAATTTTAATTTCTATAACGATAAAACCGCATATAGGACTTAGAGGTGCTCCATAATTTCGATGCTGTGTCACTACGAAACTTCACTTAGTAAATCATTATATACGTTTACTAGTGATAACAAATTCATAACATGAGTAGAATGAAAACTGCTTTTAAAATTTACGCAGTGTAGCCGGCTTATTAAATGAAATTCATCTGAACTTCACAAAATTGGATTTGGACCGTAATATCTCTGATAATTATCAATTAGTGAAATCGACTTTACAAGTACGTAACACGCAGCTGGGACAAAGAGGTTCACTGAATGTAGATGAATTACTTTTTTTTAGACAAAGACGACAAAACAAATAACAATGTCTCTATAAGCCAGTGGCCACTGCCCGCGAAAAGTCAGAGGGACTGCGAGTGCCCACAGAGGACGACAGACGCCCGTTACACAGTCCACTTCCCTTCTCACTTACGCCTCATATCGGCTTCTCTCGTCTCTGTTTACTGTTACAAATCCTCATGGTTTGGTTTCATGGGTAACGATATACCCGAAGTAACTAGCGTTTGGCTGGAAGAAGTTGCGCCCTAAAAATGAACCTGGTGTCTACAACGCTACACCAGTTAGTTTCTTAATGATTCTTCTACGTATTTTTCCCATGAAAATTTAACAACAGCCCAGGGATTGAATTTTTCATTTACTATATCATCAGTTTCACGAACCAACAGCAACAGGTTATTATCCCATGGAATAATCCCGATTGGAAAACTTGGAGACTTAAACATAGCCTGAATCATGATGACTACTACTGCATGGTAATGTCCTAATGGATAAAAACGTTAGTTCGTGAATTTAGTATCATAGCAATCGTGAGTTCAATCGCTGACATGGGCAGTGTGTACTTGGACTAGGATGAGCAATAACTGAGCTGTATTGTATAAGAACTAGACGAGATGGATATTGTCAGCGGAACGAGAAACATTTACCCTCGTAGATAAAGCGTCCAGTTAAAAGAATCACTAACGATTAAGGCCGGAGTGCACAAAGGCCGAAGCGTCGTGATGTCTGAAGACAATAATCCACATGTAAATAACTTAAACAATGCTAACTCATAATCCCAGTAATTCGGACAATATGGAGGGGAGATGATGGCCTCAATTTTTTGGGACTGTGATTTTAACCTGTTTGATAACCCTCCCTATTTCCTGATTTAGCCTCACCTGACTATCATCTGTTCCCCAACAGAAAAAACCCCAGTTGTCTGGGAACTAGTATATCAGTGATAATGATGTCATATCTCCTGTTTTTTTTCCTGACCAACAGGATGAAAGCTTCTTCAATAACGAGATTCAAGCAGTGAATCACTTATGGAGTAAGTGTGTGGCCCGCAAGGAGGTATGGTGAAAATTGAACCTCATTTGGATACATTCTATGAGAGCATCTTTGTTAGCCTATGGACTTTTTCGTCGACTCTCGTATATAAGCAAAGCTGAACTGAAAATTTAATGAAACTAAAACAAATTCTCGTCCAATGTCCATGTTTGCAGACCCATGAGTTGTTTGGCCGAATTCTCAAATGTCAAAAGCCAGTAGCTACTCAGCAAACCAATTTCCAGTTGTTTGTTACACAGCGAATTTGCCTTTTAAATACAATGCTTTCTTGGAAATACAAAGACTGTGTAAATGGGAAAATACTTTGATCAAATGTTAGCTGATTGAATAGAACGGACTACAGGATTTCTACCCGTAGAAATGATTGACAGAAAAGACAATACCAATAGTACATTTCATGAAATGTTGCTTGGATCAGAAAAAAACGTTCGAATATAAGACTTATACCTGAACAATGGCTTGATAGAAACACAAGCAAATTGTAAACGAAAATAAAAGATTTTGATAAACGTTGTTTGGATCTAAAGAGAAATACACAAAATGGTAGCGTGACAGAAATTGTACCTGCAGAATTAATTGATAAAAACACAAACAATAAAACGTTTTTTTTTTTTTCAAATGTTGGCTGGGTAAGAAAATAAAAAGATCAAACAAAAAATACATTGATAGAAATACATGGCTGATGCTAACTTCCGGGAAAGTGACTCATTGTACCTTCTCGGGATAATGTTCTCAGCTGACACGAAGTGGAAAGACTACATTGAATTGGTCAGTTTGCTCAGAAAATTGGCTTATTGTGTAGCACTAGACATTTTTTCTCTCCAGTCTACCATTTGCCTAGAATATTTCTGCCAAATATGGTCCGGTGCCCTTGCCATTTATCTTGAGCTCCTTGATAAAATCCAAAGAACAATCAGCAATATTATTGGTCTTGATCTGGCAGTTCAACTTCAGTCACTTTCGCATCGACGTAAGGTTGCCACACTGTGTCTTTTTTTATAACTACTTTCATTGTAATTGTTCAGATGAGCTCATCGCTATAGTACCTAGATCTTTTGAATTTAAGCTCAGTAATAGACTGACGTCGAGATCTCATTAATTCACAGTGGAGCTAGCTAGATGTAGCCGTAAATTTTATGCTAACAGTTTCTTTTCTCGCACTTATCGCTTGTGAAAATCCCTTCCGGCTCCATGCTCTCCTGCCAAATTTAATCTGCAAAAATTTAAATGCAATGTCAATCACTACCACGTCTTGTCCTCCTGATTACTTTTTCCTCTTACCGCTCATTATTAAAATTTTGTTACTAATTCTTCCACACCCTGTAACCCCTTGTTTCTTAGTGGCTTTATTGCCTTGCTTGGGGTGATACTGGTTTAAAAAATAAAGCAACAAAAAAAAGCAAATAACATATCAACGCTTTGATTAATTGTTGATCACATTAAAAGAAAGACTGACGATATGAGATGCATCCATAGTAAAAAAAGAAAGAAAGAAAAATTTTGAAAAATTTTAAGGAAAAGAAAAAAAGAAAAAAAAGAAAAAAAAAAAACAAAAAAAAAAAAATAAAGAGGACAGAAAACTTAGATACAAATTGAAACAGATAAAGAAAGAAGAAAGAAAGAAAGAAAAAATAAGAAAATGAAAAGACGTAGTAAAATGCATAAAGAAAAAGAGACGAAAGAAAGAAGATACAAAGAAATAAAGAAAGAAAGAGGACAAGAAACTTAAATACAATCTGAAACAGGTAAAGAAAGAAAGAAAGAAAGCAAGAAATAATGAAAAAAGAAAGAAAATGAAAAGGCATAATAAAAACATAAAGAAAAGAGACGTAAGAAAGAATAAAAAAGAAGAAATAAGGAAGGAATAAAGGAATAAAGAGGACAGGAGACGTAAATACAAATTGAAACACGAAAAGAAAGAAAGAAAGAAAGAAACAAAGAAACAAAGAAAGAAACAAAGAAAGAAACAAAGAAAGGAAAAGAAAGACAATGAAAAGACGTAATAAAAAAGCATAAAGATAAAGAGACATAAGAAAGAAAGAAAGAAAAAAAGAAAGAAAAAATGAAAAAGAAAGAAAGAAGACAAGAAAGAAAAAAGAAAAACTAAAATTTGAAGAACGAGAGAAAAACAGAGATGTACGGAGAAAGAAAGAGAGAAAGAAAGAAGAAAGAAGTGTCGTTATAAGAAAGAATAATGAAAGACGAAAGAAAAAAAAGGGAAGAAAATAAAAAAGACACATTATCAGAAAGAAAGAAAGAAAGAATGAATGAAAGAAAGAAAATGGATAGTCACTATAAGAAATATAAAGAAAAAGTGACTTAAACACAAAGAAAGAAAGAAGGAAGATAAAAAAGAAAGAAGGAAGATAAGAAAGAAAGACGCGTCTTTATGAAAAAGTAAAAGTAAATAAAGTTTTGAAGAATGAAAGAAAAGAAAGAAATGAACGAAGAAAGAAAGAAACAAAAAAACAAACAAATATGACCGAAAGAGAAAAAGAAAGATTATCGTTTTAAGAAAGGCACAGGAAATTAAAGATCTGAATTACGAAAGAAAAAGATAGATACAAATGAAGAAAGAAAGAAAAAAAGAAAGAAGAAAGGAAAATAATAAAGAAAAAAAAGAGTCGTTATAAAAAGAAATAAAATATTTGAGGAACGAAAGAAAATGAAAGAGATATACGGAGAAAGAAAGAAAAAACAAAGGAAAACGGCGGTAAGAAAAAAAAAGAAAGAATGAAAAAAGATTCGTTTTAAGAAAGGCATATGATATTAAAGATTTGAAGAACGAAAGAAAAAAAAGAGATGTACGAAGAAAGAAATTATAAGGAAAGAGTGAATATGAGAAAGAAATATGAAAAAGTCAATGTGAAAATGTGAAAAATAAATATGAAGAAAAATAAAATATTAAAAAAAAAGAAACATTGTAAAATAACGAAAAAAAACGTGAAAGAAAGAAAGTGACGTTATAACAAAGAATGGGATATCAAGAAAGATTAGAACGACAGAAAAAGAAAGAAAGAAAGAAAGAAAGAAAATAGAATGATTTAGTGATCCTATAGTATAAGAAAGAAAGAAAGAAAGAAAGAAAGAAAGAAAGAAAGAAAATAGAATAATTTGGTGATCCTATAGTATAAGAAAGAAAGAAAGAAAGAAAGAATGGAAGGAAAGGAGAAAGAAAGAAAAAAAAATGGAAAAAGAAAAGAAGAAAAAAGAAAATAAAATGAAAAAGAAAGAAAAGTATAAGAAAGAAAAAGAAAAATAAAGAAAAATGGAAAGAAAGGAAAAGAAAGAAAAAATGAAAAAAAAAAAAGAAAGAAAGAAAATTAAGAAAATCCTTAAAAGAAAAGAAATAATAAGGAAAGAAAGAAAAAAAAAAAGTTAAAATGATGTAATAAAAGAGAAGGAAGAAGAAAAAAACTTGTCATGAGAAAGAAAGAAAATAGAATGATTTAGTCATCCTATATTAGAAAGAAAAAAAGAAAGAAAAAAAGAAAGAAAGAAAGAAAGAAAAAAGAAAGAAAGAAAGAAAGAAAGTGAATATCCTTATAAGAAAAGAACTAAGGGATCTCTAGAAAAAAGAAAGTTAAAGTGACGTAAGAAAAGAAAATAAAAAGGAAAGAAAAAAAACTCGTTATAAGAAAGAAAGAAAGAAAAAAAGAAAAAAGAAAGAAAGAAAGCAAAGGAAATAGATTTGAAAAAAAAATGAAAGCTCTTTAAAAAAAAGACAGAAAGATAAAGACAAATAAACATTAGAAGAAAAAAATGAATTAAATAAATTATAAATGAATTAATGAATTCGTGAAATGAAGGAGAAATAAAATGAAATATTTATAATTTATTCTAAGCTACAATGGAAAAATGTCTAAAAAAATTCTCGAAAAACCAAAATAGGACCCAATGAAGGGGAGAGAGAAAAGAAGAAAAAAGAAAGAGAGTAGGAGTATGAGGAAGGAAGAAGAAGAGAAGTGTTAGATAAAGAAGAAAAAGAAAAGTTCGTAAGAAAATGAGGGGGGAGGCAATGGAGAAAGAAAGAGAGAATGAAGAGGAAACACAAGGGGTAATAAAAGAATCGATTAATGACGTAAATTGGGTTTTGTTTTTTGTTATTCGGAAACGACAGAGGCGAAAGTGAGAACATATTGAGATAGCGAAAGAGAGGGCGAGAAAGAAAGAGAATAAGGAGAAAAAAAAAAAACTTTTATCCACGAAGGAAATATTATTATAAAGCCAAAAGAGTGATATCCTAATTGAGTTAGAAGGATTCCTGATAGTGAGAAAATTCAAATAGAGTTAGAACGAGAAAAAAGAAGGAGAAAAAAAGTCAAAGGGGTACAAGTAAAAAATAAAGGGAGAAAGAGAACGAAAGTAAGAGAGTTGGAAAGAAAGTGAGAAAGATTGAAAATAGTCATCTTTGTTCCTTTAAGTGTGTCAGAAGAAATAAATATAAAAAAGACAAGCGAGAAAGAGAGTAAGAAAAAATGGACACTGAGGAGAAAAAAAGAAAGAAAGTACGAAAAAAAAACAAAATTATTGAAAATATAGGGAGAAGAGATCAATAAAAACTGATTTTGAGAAAGGAAGAGAGTGAAAATACAAAAAATTATTGAAAAAAAAAAAGAACGAGAAAACCCAAATTAAATTCCACGAAAGATAAAAAAATTCATAGAAAAGGGATTCAGAAAAATTAAAATAATTTAAAAAATCATGAGTTTCAATTTAAAAAGAATAATTTAAAAAAAATTAGTAAGGGATGAAAAAAAAAAGAAAAAACAAGAAAAATATTAAAGAAAACGCAAGGAAAAAAAAAGGGAGAAAGAGAGGAAGGATTGAGTGGAGAAGTGAAAACAAAAGTGATTTGCAAAGGAATTTTTTTTATCTTAGTAAATCTATAAGAAGGATAAAGAGAAAGCGTGAGTGAACGAAAGTTCTGTCTATCTAAGTAAAAATTTTGAAAAAAGACAAAGCAATGTAAAATTATTAAGAAATTAATTAATTTTTCAAAATTAATTTAATCAAAGAAAGAGAGAAGTTTTAAAAAGTAAGAGATTATTGAAAATTGGACAGTGAGGAAGAGAATATGGCAGAATAAAAAAATGTAAATGAAAAAAAGAATGAAAGAATAAAGGAACGAATAAGAGAGAAAAGGGAAACATTAATATCAAAAAGACTAAAGAGAATGAGAGAAAGAGAAAAAAATGTGATGGACGAATATAATATCTCTTACCTTCAGCATTACTAGGGATAAATTGGCTCTGAGAATTCCCACAACAGGCCGGACGTCCGTCACACATTACTATGTATCTGACGGTCTTTGGGGGCCGCAACTTTTAGCCGTCTATGATGTCGTCAACAAGATATTGCAGCCATCATAACCGCCCCTATTCACACCCATTTGTCGCGATTAAACATATTTTCAAAAGTAACAAGAATAAATATATTGGCTTTAGTCATTGGCATTCTTTCTTGGTTAAATTTTTATATACAGTCACTTAAATTCTCTTTTCTCTGTCCACGTAGGTGTGGCTGGATATGTTTGGACAACTAACACCAGCTACAAATATTTATGACATTCAGTTTAATATTACTGCTACGATCTGAGTTATTATTATTATTATTATTTTCTTTGATTTCTGGCGTTTACACATTTCTTTCCAGTTCCAGCGCAGGGACGTAAGGTTAGAAATGGCATCATGACACTTTCCACTGACAAAAAAAAAATAAATAAATAAATAAATTACATAGATAAAGCCCTTCGTAAAGTATGGGCTGTACTTGTCAGAACAATTTTTTGTATCTCCTTGAGGTATGGACTTCCAGGAATCCCTTCAATTAGTCTACTGCAATCTTTTCCAACCAGTCCTAGGGCTCCAATTACAAAAGGGATTGTTGATGTTCCCATATGCCACATTTTCGAGATTTCTATTTCAAGGTTTTTGTATTTTGACGGCTTTTTGAATATCTTCAAAGATATATTGCAGTCTGCAGGGACTGCCATATCAACAAGGAGGCACCGTTTTTGTTTGTGGTCTTTAATAACAATTTATTATTATTATTATTATTATTAAATTAGCCATGTAAATATCATGAACCGAGAATGTCACCAACGATGAGGTCTTGGAGAGAATGCAAACAAGGAGGATGCTTATACTTAACATCAGGAAGAGGCAGATGAAATTTCTGGGACACGTAATGAGAAAGGAGGGCCTGGAGAATTTGATACTCACAGGTCGAATAGAGGGAAAAAGAGACAAGGGAAAGCAACGTATGATATACCTGGCTTAAGCAAGTGGATGACAGAACGTGATCTGGGGAGTTGGCAGAGGTACGAAACTTACTGAGAGCCACAAGAGATAGGAGGATGTGGAAAGCCATGATCGCCTACGTTCAGAAAGTACACGGCGCATAAAAAGAAAAGAAATCCAAAATTTATACTAGGAACAATAATTGAGTAGCCATACAAAAACAGAAAGAACTGTCAGACAAGGATGTGTCTTCTCTCCAGATTATTTCAGCTTCTACAGTAACGCTATGCTTCTGGCTATGACGATAAACTACATCCGCGTCCTGGGGAAGACGATAAACTACATCCGCGTCCTGGGGAAGACGATAAACTACATCAGGCCTCAAAAAAGAAGTGACGTAAGAAAAAAGAAGGAAACGAAAGGAAAGAAAAGAAGAAGGAAAGAAAAGAAGAAGGAAAAAACTCGTTAGAAAAAAGAAAGACAGAAAGAAAGAAAAAGAAAGAGACTTGAAAAGTACAACAAAAGACAGAAAGATAAAGACAAAGAAACGAAAAAAGATGAAATATATAATGAATGAATGAATTAGGAGCGTGGAACCACCTCTTAATTGCTGGTGTTCCCAGGTCCACCCTGATCCAGAGTGGCAGCACCTGTTAGGGTCCCAGCTATGGGCAAATAGTTAACCCATAAACTGGGGTAAAAACGTGTAAAAATAAGTTTTAATACCAGCAATATATTTTTGTAAAAAGTATTACCAGCAATAAATTTTTGAAGAACAAATTATTACCAGCAATACATTATTACCAGCAATACTTTTTTGGAAAAAATATTACCAGAAATACTTTTTGAAAAAAATATCCGCAATAAAAATGTCAACATTGAATAACCCATTGAGGTTGATAAACCGTAAAACAAAACAAACCAATACAACGCTATTCCAAGAGAAGTGACAGCCTACGTGGTGGGCGTAATCTTAATAATAAATATCTGGTTTTCAAATGCATCCGGCATTATTCTTTCCAGGATTGACTGACTGATTTGTCTTTTACGGTTTATCAACACCTTGCAGATTATTTTAGGCCAGAAATTATATATATGTATATGTATATATGACCTAAAATTATTTTATAGTTGTACTGATAATTTAGAAAAAATATATATTAAAAAACACACAATAATAAGATTTTAAATAAATACTTAAATCAGAATAAAAAAAATAGTGATCCAGAAATAAGAATAAATAATAGTAAAGGAAAATTATCTAACTGTAGGAATCCGATAAATTGCCCATTGAATAATAAATGTCTCACAGAATCTATAGTTTACCAATGTACTGTCTCATCTATTGAGAATCCTAATGTTAAAAAAATTATATTGGTAGCACTAAAAATAGTTTTAAATTAAGGTGGAACCAGCATTTGTCTTCCTTCAAAAATAATATATATCGTAACCAAGCATGCCTATCCAATATTTTTGGCATTTAAAAGAAACAAATAAAACACGCACAATAAAATGGAAATTATTTAAAAAAAAACAAAAAACGAGAACTTGTAGGTCTTTAAATGACTCATGTCCTTTGTTCCTACATGAAAAGTTATATATTATTAAGTTTCTAAAAAATAAAGATTTATTAAATCAAAGAAAAGAAATAGCTGTTTTTTCAGACATTGCATTATGTTTACATTAAAATATAATTAATTAAAATAATTCATAATTATATATCTATTATTAGATCAGAAATAAGAAAGTAAAAAATGTGTAATTAAATTTCTAAATTTTAAAATATTAATTTTAACAATATTAATTTTTAACAATCTAGTATACTAATAAATATAATAAATATAGTATTTTAGATCTTTATAAATAAAAATAAAAATATATAAAATATGATTTAATTATATTTGAAGCCTCTTTAAGACAACCCCAATCTATTCTATAAAAAATTAAAAAAATAATAATAAATAAATAAAAATGTATAGTAGTCTATCTTATGTATGCTCTTAAAAAACGGCAGGAGGGTACATCCTCATATAAGAAAGCCAGTATCGACAGGCAGAATTTACAAACCCACAATTAACCCGTAACATATATTTAAACTTAGCCATCTTAAATTAGACTTGATTCCTGATTCATCAAAAAAGGCAACACCCTTTTAGAATTTTGTAATGCCTTTCCCCCTCCTATTTAGCATAAAAAACTAAATCATTTTTTTCGAAAGTTATTCAACATCGATTGAAAATGGAATAAAAACTTTCATTTTAAGTTTAATTTAAAGTTTAGTTTAGTTCATTAACTTGTTAATTTCTGTGTCGTGATGAATACATATTTTTTAAATAATAATATTATAATTATATATATATATATATATATATATATATATATATATATATATATATATATATATATATATATATGTTTTTGTGTGTGTGTGTGTGTGTTATATAAACATACAGACAGATAAATCTATTGATAAACAGAGAGGCAGATTTTGGGCATTGAGAAAAAGACACTGTTTAGAAGACGACACAGAGGCATCATTTGTTCACTCACTATGAGGCACAAGTGCCCCACAAGGTAGAGTGCTACTGATGGAATGATGTAAGGGCGTATAGGGGGAAGCAAGGGTTGCATTTTATGAAGATATATATGTTAGGTAACGTTTGACTCTCGATTTGAAGGAGTTAAGATTGTAGCGAACGTGAAAGTACCCCTTACTCTCGGGTGGCTATTCCCACATTTCATCAGTTTCGGGGACGAAACTGCCTGAGTGAAAATTATTCTCTTGCCAGGGAATATGAAGGTGATAAGGATGAGTGTGCATAGCTTGGTGGGTTCTAGCTGTGAAGGTCTGAACGGGTGGAACGAAGGAATCTAGTCAGCCTGAATATCTAGCATA